TTTTTTCAAAATGTTGAACTTGCATTCATTTTACATGGCTTTCTAAACATGCTGCTCTTTTGTGCGAGACGAGAGTGCAACGCTGATAGATGTCCCTCTAGAAAATGCGTGAAATATGCGTTCTGTGTGAACGGCTTGGTTTCAGTTTTTACATAAACAAGATCTTTGTAATTAACAACGTAGCTGCGGCGCATCTAGTGGCTTCAACTGGATAGGCTAACAAAAACATTGAAATGCAACGACACTTACATCGTCATCGCATCTCGTGCGCCGCTGATAAGGCTGCCTCCTTAATGCACAACTAATGCAGCATTTTTGCATTTGAATTTTTATTTTAAATTCGACGAATATTCGAAATTCGAAAATAAAACTAATTTGACAGCCCTACACTATATGAAAGCCCATTTCTGCCACGGCCTAAAAAAATAAAATGGGTAATTGTGACTTTTCATCGCACAATTCTGTCTTGCGAGAACTAAACTCCCGAGTTATAAAGTCCATTTTTAAAGAAAATCAAGTCAGCTCACAGTTCTGATATTTTCTTAGAATTGCAAGTTTACATCTTGCAAAGTTTATATCACACATTTCAAAGAAAAAAAGTCAGAATTGTGAGATAAGTTGCAATTACCTTTTTTTTTTCAGTGGAGGAAACCAGCTTGCATAATAATAACCCTGCTCAGATCTGTGCATGATTATTTGCAATGACACAGAATGTTAAAAGAGTTCAAAAGAGAGGTGTGACCGTGAATGTAGTGACAGAGAGGTTAGTCAAACTAAGTGTAATTAAGTTAAGAACAGAGGCTTTATATAATTACTGTAGATCCAAACACTCTACCGTAGGGTTTATAGACACACACCCGACTGCTCTTACTATCAGCTTATCCCTCTGAGCAGCGAGACTGTATTTTGAAGTCCTAATGACGAGCACAGCTTCATTACCTTGATCTGAGAGTCTTCTAGCCGCCGGAATGAAGCTCTGCCGTCAGGACCAGCCGTAATATTCCCCAGATCTCCTACATGCTAGAGACCAGACAGAGACACAGCATTACTGCAGACCACCTCAATCATCTTTACCCACAACACCTTAGTTTCAATGTCAGTGTTAGTCAAAAAGCCTAAAACTTACCCAAACAAAATAAAGCAAAAAAGGAATAAAAAATGACAAAATTCTGTTAAATAATAAATAAATGTAATATAAATATAATTATAAACATTAATAAAGAATGAATTCCTTATTAATAAATACATTATATATGTAAATAAAATAAATAAAAAATATTTAATAATATAAATTAATTAATTAAATGCATATGATATAAAATAATTTAATGTATTGCTTATTCTACCAAGCGAAAATTACATATTGTGCCTTTAACACAGCGGCCACATGACATCCAGCTGCGCAAACACACCAGAAACATGGACAGCTTTAAAAGCTGAATGCATATGAATGCATGAGAGCATATTTAAGTATTTATTAGATACCATTTTAATCATCCTTTTGCAGTTCACTTAAATCTGCAGTGTGACAAATGCCTTTTTGCTAATATTGAATGTAGTCTCTCTAATAATTGAATATATTGTATATATTATAATACACTATATAATAACAATATATAATAACACTGAAAAGTACCTAAAATACCACACACACACATATATTTGTGTTTCTCTAATTAGATATATATGTATTAATTAGCTCATACTAAGCTGCATGCATAATAATCATTTCATGCCAGCTTCCTAAATGCAGACATTAAAAACTATAATGATGTCCAGTAATATTCCTGAATCTGCTTGACAGTTTCCATAAGTTGAAATAAATAAATACATATTTATTTGGAAGTGCAAGACTAAAACAGCATGTAAAAATTAAGAGGTTAATAACTGTGCAAGTCATCAGTTATTACACGTTATGGAAATTATGCTGGTCATTATGATGAAATCAATAATACGAACTTAATTAAATATGACTTGTGACGTTATTACAAGTTGACCTACTGATATCCTTCTTAAACAAATAATTTTAACACTCATATAAAAAAACGTAATTAAAGCTCATTATTTAAACTGCTATTTAGTATTCATTGCAGTACTTTTAAAATAATCATTATAAAGTCATATTCACACCTTCGCTGTTCTGTTCGTGTCCATCTCTGGATGGCACGCCGATACTTACGCAAGCGGAAGTTCCGTGCTCAGAAAATGTTATAAAATAAAAGTCCTAGAAAATGACATTAGTAAAATAAATGTCCCGGAAAATTGGTTAATTTAATATAACTGGATTATGTTCGATTCAAACATTAAATGTAATAAAATATAATATCAACAAATATATAATCTAGAACTGACAGCAACAACTTCAGATGAAAATAAAATACAGTCTTGTAGTTAAAATGGTTAGTCAGAAAATGTAATATAATTAGTGCTTTCAAACGATTAATCGCGATTAATCGCATCCAAAATAAAAGTTTTTGTTTACATAATATATGCGTGTATATTTATTGTATATATACATACACACACATGCATGTATGTATTTAAGAAAAATATGTTACGTTTATATATTAAATATATTTATATATGATATACTTTATATGAATATAAATATATACATGTAAATGCAAGTAAATATTTTCAAAATATATGCTGTATGCGTGTGCTTTTATATATACATAATAAATATACACAGTACACACATATATTATGTAAACAAAAACTTTTATTTTGGATGCTATTAATCGTGATGAATCATTTGACAGCACTAATATATAATATAATATAATACAAAAAGTTATATTCTATTCATTTATTCTATTAATTTGACGTTACTTACAGTTTCTGAGAAAAACAAACTCAAGATTAGCCTTTTGCTTATTTTATTGAAAAATATGTCAAATATTAAAGCGCACCAAAATAATTATATTTACATAACAGCAGATTCACAAAGTTGCTGATATAATACAATATTCACAGTTATATCTGTGTAAAATCTAAGTGGCTGCTGGCTTCATTTTAAATGTTGTGGGAAACTGAGGCCTTTCTCCAGAGCGTGGGATCTCCAGCGCTCGTCATCCGCCTCATGCGTGAGATAGCGATATCCCATCCGCTGCTCAAACTCACGCAGGTCACACCACATTTGGAAGTTCTGCAGCGGGAGAAACAGACGAGGTATGCATAAATCACACTGAAATCTGCATTTGCATGCCAGTACAATATGTTTTGGGTTGGGTTGATTTTTGGAGTAAGTCAACAGACCTGAAACCAAGGATGACCCATCGCTTTGCCAACACTGAACCTGCGTCTCACCACCACCTGCAGCAGGTTATTGATCAGATTCACCGCTGAGAGAAATATAATGTACAGTATGTGGAAAATAATGTGTTTTTTGAACTTTAAATCGCATAAACACATTTCATTACACCAAATACACAAAATAATGTTCTTTTTAGCAGCATCATATGACCCCTTTAACAGAAAGAAAGTTAGGTAACCATCTGGTATTCCTCACTTAGGGTACAAAACTATGGAAGCTTTGCCCATTTCTGGCATGAAAAAAACAAAAACAATTGCAGCTTTTAGTCTCACACTTTTTTCACACTTGCCATAATACTAAGTTCTCTGTAATACTTCTCAAACTCTCTTCTGCATCTTGCAATTCAGGAAAGAAATCTGAGATGTCGCAATTACCTTTTATAAAGGGGTTCTATACAGAAAAAAATCTAACTTTAATTTATATACTATATTTTATTTCAATAATATTTACTCTTTAATAATTCATATTTTGAGGGGATTTTATGGTACTATACAGTATTCACCTCTAAATTATGCACCATCTAAAAACAGAAATATTAGAAACAATTATTTCATATTATTTTGAATGAATACAGTATTAAAGTTTTGCATTTAGACATCATTGAAGACTACTTCATTGTGGCTGATTTATAGATTGTATTTTTTCTTTTTTAAACCATTTAGCCTTTTCTAATCATGCTCAGTAAAAATAAGTAAAAGTAAAAATGTGAAAAATTCAAAATGAACGTGGTCTAAAATTACAAAAGGCCACTATGTATATATGCATTTATGTATTTGTGTATATGTGTGTGTGTTTATATACACACACACACACACACACACACACAGACATAAAGTACACACACACACGCACACACACAAAGTACACACACACACACACACACACACACACACAAAGTACACACACACAAAGTATACACGCACACACACAAAGTATACACGCACACACACAAAGTACACACACACACACAGACACACACACAAAGTACACACACACACACACAAAGTATACACACACATTTTAAGTAATATAATCAGACTACTTTTAGATTACTTTTGATGTAACTCGTTTATCATCTTGATTTAAGCAAGATAATCTTGTACCATATTGATATAAAATACAAAGAGAAAATATATCATTCATTGTTAGTAACAACATGAAGTGCATTAAACTGCAGGGTAAATCAAATGAATGAGTTCATCAGTAGTTGATGCAGTGTTGAAATGTTGGGAAACAACTTCTTAAAATTGAAATGATTTTTGTAAATCCAGTGGTCAAGTGCTGTGTGGCCTCTCAATTATGTGTAATTATAGCCACCCGACTAGTGACTGGTGTTTGTGTGAACGAACATTTAAAAGATGAAAAAGAAGAATTAGGGAGAATCAGTAAATTTTTAATTATTCATTGCTATTGTGTGAATAACATGTAATCATGTAATCGACAAAAAAAGTAACTGTAGTCTGATAAAAATTTAATTTAATCTAATTACAAATACTTAATTTTGTGAAATCTAATTACGTAATCCATATTACATGTAATCAGATTACATGTATATACTAATATATACAGTATATATATATATATATATATATATATAGAAAAACTAGCACTAGCTTCTCTATTCTTTTTGTATTCTATCTGTTTTCTTTTTATTTATTATATAATTAAAAAAAAACTTGCTACGTGTACTGCATTAAGCTAACTGAGACTTGTTATAGCACTTGTATATCATTGCTCTTTTGTTGACTTTGATTGCTTCTATTGTCCTCATTTGTAAGTCGCTTTTGATAAAAACTTCTGCTAAATGACTAAATGTAAATATATACACACACACACACACACACAGATACACGGTCTCTTACCCTCCAGTGAGATGAGGGACCACGGCTGGTGTGGATACATGAACGAAGCGTTGGTGATCTGCTGATTAATGTCCTCGTCCTCGTTAAAAGGGAACGTTCCACTCAGACTAACGTATAAAATCACGCCCACGGCCCACACGTCCAGAGAGCGATTGTAACCCTTACTACAGATGACCTCCGGTGCCAGATACGCCGGTGTCCCGACGACAGTGCGCCGGAACGACTTCTGTCCGATGATACGAGCGAACCCAAAGTCACACAGTTTGACCTGAAACGGAGACATTGCATTCAATGCATTCAGTTTTTGCATTCCCTGGAAATCAAAAAATCATTCTAGTATCGTGCTCAACAGTTTAAATATCTCCATTGGACACATGCAATTCTAGACTTGACTTTAAAGGGATAGTTCACCCAAAAATGAAAATTCTGTCATTAATTACTCCAAACCCGTAAGACCTTCGTTCATCTTCGGAACACAAATTAAGATATTTTTGATGAAATCCGAGAGCTCTCTGACCCTCCATAGACAGCAACGCAACTGAAATGTTCCCAGATCCAGAAACATAGCAAGTTTATCGATGTCCTGGGAGCATTACAGTTGTGTTTCTGTCTATGGAGGGTCAGAGAGCTCTCGGATTTCATCAAAAAATAACTTCATTTGTGTTCTGAAGATGAACGAAGGTCTTACGGCGTTTTGAACGACATGAGGGTGACATGAACTAACCCTTTAAGTGTCAAAAACATTGAAAATCTTGAGTAAAGAGCCATATATGAGAGTGTCAGACCTGAGGAAAGGGTTCAGGCGAAGCCAGCAGCACATTTTCTGGTTTCAGGTCACAGTGTGCAACGTCCCTCATGTGCAGGTACCGCAGAGCCTCCAAAACCTTCAACACCAAGCACAGATCAGCAAGACTGAAACTTTTTTTAGTCTCCACTGGTTTACACTCTTAAAAATACAGATTCCAAAAGTGGGGTTTCGCAGCAAAGCCATAGAAGAACTGTTTTTGGTTCCCCAAAGAATATTTCAGTGAACAGTTCTTAGTGTGAAGAACATTTTGATCATCTAAAGCACCTTTTTCACCATAAAGAACCTTTTGTGAAATGGAAAGTTTCCACAGTCTTAAAAAAAAAAAAAAATCCATGGAATCCTTCCATTCCACAAAAGGTTCTTTATAGTGGAAAAAAAGATTCTTTAGATGATCGAAATGTTCTTCACACTAAAAAAAACAATGGTTCTTTTAAGAACAGGTCACTGAAGGATTCTTTGAGGAACCAAACATGGTTCTTCAATGGCACTGCTACAAAACCCCCTTTGAAAGCTTTATTTTTAAGAGTTCTTCATGGAACCATAGATTGCTTTATTTTTAAGAGCGTATGAAGAAGACCTATGTGAAATAGATTAACATGCAATTCATGCACAACTGTTTTCAGCATTGATAATAATCAGAAATGTTTCTTGAGCAGCAAAGCAGCATATTAGAATGATTTCTGAAGATCATGTGACACTGAAGACTGGAGTAATGATGCTGAAAATTCAGCTTTGATCACAGAAATAAATTACATTTCACAATATATTCACACAAAACAGTTTTTTAAATTGCAATAACATTTCACAGTTTTTACTGTATTTTTACAGTAAAACAGCATGACAGACTTGCAAGTTATTAAAAAATAAAATGTAAAACAACCACGAGATAATGTTCTGTTTAAGGTGGTCTGAAAAAAAGCCTTATGGCAGCCTTCTTGGAACATTAGCTATGATTATTAAAAATGTACAACCTAAAAGATAGCTTGGAGAGCTTTACAAGTAGGTTCCTCCCAAAAATGGCACCAACGTTAGAGGAACATTCTGTGTTTTAAGAGCAAACCAGCTCCTTTACCTGAGTGACTAGAAAGCGAGTGGTGCGTTCAGTCAGCCGTCCGTTCTCGTGAGATAAGATCATCTCTAGCATGTCGCTGTGGAGCTTCTCCATCACAACGAAAGTATGCTCCATTGTCTTAAACGTGCGTTCTATATGAATGACTCCTGGATGAGACAGTCTCTAAAATGCACACACATGGACGATATAATGACAACAAAAACAAGTGTTTGAATTGTGGGGAAAATGGCATCTTGAACTCATACCTGTAATATCGAGACCTCATTTTTGGTCTGTTCCTCCTGTTTAGTGGGAAATCTTGTTTTATCGATGACTTTAACCGCGACCGGACGGCCCGTGTGTCTGTGAGTGCCTCCGTAAACCACCCCGAACTGACCCGAACCCAAAACCTCATCAGAGAAGATCTGATAGAGCTCACTGATGTCCTGCGACACACACATGAACACACAGACAAAATCAGATGCTTCGTTCCCTCTTTGAAACACAGTGGTTATTTTGGAAATATATTTATGATCAAAAATTGAGTCTCACCTGGGTCTCGTCACCGTTCTTTCCATCACCTGGCAAGAGAGGAGGTGTCATTTTATTTGACATTATAGACAACATGAGGATCATAGAAGATGTGGACGTTTGTTTCTTTTGGAGAAATGTAGCATTACGTCACTTGCTCTGCAGTGAATGGGTGCCGTCAGAATGAGAGTCCAAACAGCTGATAAAAACACCACAATAATCCACACCACTCCAGTCCATCAGTTAACATCTGGAGAAGACAAAAGCTGCATGTTTGTGTAAGAAACAAATCAATCATTACAACATTTTAACTCTGAACAGTCGCTTCTGTTCAAAATATGTCCATAAGCCATAACAACGCTTCGTTCAGTGAAAAAGTCCATCTCCTGTTGTTGATTGTTTTGGCCTGTAAACGGTGTTTGATCTGTGCAGGTTTCTCTCCTGATTCAGACAAGACGAGTTTTTCACTGGAGGAAGCAATATTATGGATTACGGACTCATATTTTAGCAAAAGTTCAAATTAAAAACATCTTAATGATGGATTTGTTTCTTACAAACACGCAGTTTTTCACTTCACAAGATGTTAACTGATGGACTGGAGTGGTGTGGATTATTGTGATGTTTTTATCAGCTGTTTGGACTCTCATTCTGACGGCACCCATTCACTGCAGAGCATCCATTGCTGAGCAAGTCATGCAAAGCTACATTTCCTCAAATCTGATGAAGAAACAAACTCATCTACATCTTGGACGGCCTGAGTGTGAGTACATTTTCATTTTTGGCTGAACTTAGAGTATATTTATATTGTGTGGAATCAGAGGCTCATGAATAATTCACGTCTTGTTGCTCTAACCGGTGTTGTTTGTCGTGTGGCATACAGTGCCCTGCACCGGTCTGAGGGCCTGATCGAGAGCCGACTCCCATGACGGGCCGTCCTGATCCGCAAACACACAGTACACCAGAGATCCCGTCACCAGCTCGAACGAGTGTGCGCTGTTGCCTGGCAACACTGGAATAGTGAGCTGAGCCGGACCTCGAACCTGCAGCACCTCTGAGAGAGAAATCTCCTGAAATGAAGCACACGCAACTATATTAATAACTTCATGAAAGCCCGAAGATGAACCATGTGTCAAGCACTGCTGTATTTTGCATTATGAAGTGGTAAAGGTGACACGATGCATTCTAAAGACTCGCAAACCTTGTAGTACTTAATGCTGATTTCATTCGGATACAGGGTGATACTTTTCCCATTTAATACCCAGTAGTGACGTTTTCTCTGCAAAGGAAAAAAAAAACAATATACAATTTTTTTATTTATTTTAATGTTACAGAATATTTCTATTTCAAACAGATGATTTACATCTAAACTTTCAATTCAAAGAATCCTTAAATTAAACAGAAAAATCACACTGAAGACACTGAAGACTGATGATGCTGAAAATTCAGCTTTGATCACAGAAATAAATTACATTTTACAATATATTCAAACAGTAAACAGTTAATTTAAATTATAATAATATATCAGAATATTTTACTGTACTTTTGACCAAATTAATAAAGCCTCTGTGAGTAGGGTTATTAGAGTTAACGGAAACAAAAAAATAAAAATTGTACTAAAACATATATAGACATATTAAAATAATAATAATAATAATAATAATAAAGATGACAAAAAACTTTAACAAAAATGTAAATAAAAAAACACTCAAAATAAAAATAAAAACAAATCAACAGACACACACACACACACACACACACACACACACACACACACACACACACACACAGACACAGACACAGACACACACAGACACACACACACTCAGCTCAGTCTGCAGCGCTGCATTGATCAGGATCAGGTGTGATGTGGATGCTTACGTGACAGACGGCTGCAGCGGTGTTATATCTATGGCCGGCGGGTCTTTATATCGCAGCTCTTCATAAAGATCATTTAATGTGACCACTTTCATGTTCTCATCAGGCTCTGAAAATACAGCACACTCACTTTATGACAACAACACACAACTGTGTCTTTAATATAATAACATTATACAATGTAAAATCATATCATACAATGTTTTATATATAGCACTTGCATTTCATTGCTCTTTTGTTAGTTTTAAATTGCTTCTATTGTCCTCATTTGTAAGTCGCTTTGGATAAAAGCATCTGCTAAATGACTAAATGTAAATGTTTTACAATATATTCAAACAGTAAACAGTTAATTTAAATTATAATAATATATCAGAATATTTTACTGTACTTTTGACCAAATTAATAAAGCCTCTGTGAGTAGGGTTATTAGAGTTAACGGAAACAAAAAAATAAAAATTGTACTAAAACATATATAGACATATTAAAATAATAATAATAATAATAATAATAAAGATGACAAAAAACTTTAACAAAAATGTAAATAAAAAAACACTCAAAATAAAAATAAAAACAAATCAAGTACATATTTTTATTTATTATTATTATTATTTTAATATTTCTCTATATGTACTTGATTTGTTTTTATTTTTATTTTGAGTGTTTTTTTTATTTAATTTTTTGTTAAAGTTTTTTGTCATCCTTATTTTTATTTATTATTATTATTATTTTAATATTTCTCTATAAGGATGACAAAAAACTTAAACAAAAATTAAAATAAAAAACAGTCAAAATAAAAACAAATCAAAACTATTAATAAAAACTATAATAGTATCTTATTGACACTAAAACATTACAAAAAAT